CTGCTGTGCACTGCAGAGCTCCTGCTCCTCCATTAAAATGATCTCATTTGGGGGTGAAATGAGAATATATCATAATTTGTTTCCTAACTTTAAGGAGCCAGAGAAAAAGCCCTGCCACCCCTCCTTCCCTTTAAGGAACCCCACTCCCCAAAATATCTCCCCTGGTCATAAGTATTTTAGAATAGGATTCCCCCCTAAAAGTGAAAAAGGGGCATAAAATGAGCATGGTTATGATTATAGTTATTTCTACCCCACTTTATTTCCCCCCAAAAGGGACTCAAAGCAGCTTGACCTAAAAGCATTAGTATCCAAGTTAAAACATACACTTATGCAAGCATAAAACACTAAAATTCAGTTAAAAGAAACAACTAAGATATATCTCTACATATGCATATAAAACATTTTATATAATACTATATAATTATATATATGGTATACATATATACACGCGCGCACACCTATATATATATTATAATTATTGGAAGAGGAGCTCACCTAGGCTTCTGCACATTGCAGAGCTCCTACTTAAGAAAACACTTAAAATTTTCCCATGTTTCCAAGAAAACACCTTAACTTTCCCCATATTTCCAATAAATCACTTTAATTTTCCCCATATTTCCCAGATAAAACTTTAATTTTCCCTATATTTCTCCCCAAAAAACCTTAATTGTCCCCATATTTTCACCAAAACACCTTAATTTTCCCCATATTTCCAAGAAAATACCTTAATTTTCCCCATATTTCCAAGGAAACACTTTAATTTTCCCCATATTTCCAAGAAAACACTTTAATTTCCCCTATATTTGCAGGAAAACACTTAAATTTCCCCTATATTTTCAGGAAAACACTTCAATTTGCCCTATATTTGCAGGAAAACGCTTTAATTTTCCCTATATTTCCAAGACAAAACTTTAATTTTCCATATATTTCCATAACTTTTCCCATATTTTCCCCCAAAACCTTAACTTTTCTCATATTTCCAAGAAAACACTTTAATTTTCCTTATATTTCCAAGAAAACACCTTAATTTCCCCCATATTTCTAAGAAAACACCTTAATTTCCCCTATATTTCCAAGAAAACACTTTATTTTCCCCTATATTTGCAGGAAAACACTTAAATTTCCCCTATATTTGCAGGAAAACACTTCAATTTGCCCTATATTTGCAGGAAAACACTTTAATTTTCCCTATATTTCCAAGACAAAACTTTAATTTTCCATATATTTCCATAACTTTTCCCATATTTTCCCCAAAAACCTTAACTTTTCTCATATTTCCAAGAAAACACTTTAATTTTCCTTATATTTCCAAGAAAACACCTTAATTTCCCCCATATTTCTAAGAAAACACCTTAATTTCCCCTATATTTCCAAGAAAACACTTTATTTTCCCCTATATTTGCAGGAAAACACTTTAATTTTCCCTATATTTGCAATGTAACACTTTAATTTCCCCTATATTTGCAATGTAACACTTTAATTTCCCCTATATTTGCAGGAAAACACTTTAATTTTCCTTATATTTCCAAGAAAACACCTTAATTTCCCCCATATTTCTAAGAAAACACCTTAATTTCCCCTATATTTCCAAGAAAACACTTTATTTTCCCCTATATTTGCAGGAAAACACTTTAATTTTCCCCATAATTCCAAGAAAACCCCTTAATCTCCCCTTTATTATTGCAAAGAAAGCCATCCCGCTCCTTGATTTCCATGAGCCGAAGGAGAGAGAGGCCCTCGTTTCCCAATGTGCTCCAAACCCCAGAGGAAAGGCCAGGCTGCTCACCTCCTTCTCCTCCTCCATCCTCGAAATGAGAAAGTGCTTCCAAGCAGGCCTTCCGCATTTGAAGGCGCCAATGGGAAGCCCCGCCCCCTGCCCGCCCCTGGAGGCCCCCCTGGGAAACCCCGTCCCTCTCCCTCCCTCCCTCCCGAGCGCTGAAGGAAGAAGGCCTCTTCTTCTCACCCAAACCCTGTGAGTCTCTGAGTCTGAGGCGAGGCGGGCTCCTCCTCCTCCTCCTCCTTTCCGCCTCTTCTGCCCCTTCCCGCGGGGCCCATTCCCTCCCGGCGGAGGAAGAGGAGAGGCCCCAAGACGGGAAAGGGGCCCCCCAGCCGGGCCCCCCATCCAGGAGAGCGCGGGGATCCGCCTGGGCCTAGCCGCGGCGCTGGAAGAGCGCGTCATCAGGAGGCGGGGCCTCGCGATTTGAGGGGCGGGGCCTCCGGAGAAGGGCCTTTTTTTCAGGAAAGGCCTGAAATGCCACAATATCTGCTTTGAGCTGATACACAACTCAATAAAACCCCACATTAGCTGCTTTGAACCCGGTTATCTGAGTCCACACTGACCTATATTCCAGTTCAAACAGATAATGGGTTTTTTAATTATTCAGCTGTGTGGAATTGCCTTGAGTCCACACTGCCATATAATCCAGTTCAGTGTGGATTTATGGGTCCTTCCAGACAGTCCTATAACCCAGAATATCTGCTTTGAACTGGGTTATCTGACTCCACACTGACATATATTCCAGTTCAAAGGAGATAATAGGGTTTTTTTTTTTAATTATTCATCTATGCGGAAGGGGCCCCAGTTCAAAGCAGATATTGTGGGATTTTCTGCCTTGATATTTTGGGTTATATGGCTGTGTGGACTTGCCCTGAGTCCACACTCCCATATAATCTGGTATAGAGTCCTTCCGGACAGCCCTATAACCCAGAATATCTTTTTGAACTGGGTTATCTGAGTCCACACTGCCATATATTTCAGTTCAAAGGAGATAATGGGTTTTTTAAAATTATTCAGCTGTGTGGAATTGCCCTGAGTCCACACTACCATATAATCCAGTTCAGTGTGGATTTATGAGTCCTTCCAGACAGCCCTATAACCCAGAATATCTGCTTTGAACTGGGTTATCTGAGTCCACACTGCCATATATTCCAGTTCAAATGAGATAATGGGGTTTTTTTTTAATTCAGCTGTGTGGAAGGACCCTGAGTCCACACTGCCATATATTCCAGTTCAGTGTGGATTTATGGGTCCTTCCAATCATATAACCCAGAATATCAAGGCAGAAAATCCCACAATATCTGCTTTAAACTGGGTTATCTGAATCCACACTGCCATATATTCCAGTTCGAAGGAGATAATAGGTTTGTTTTTTTTTTAACATTATTCATCTATGTGGAAGGGGCCCCAGTTCAAAGCAGATATTGTGGGATTTTCTGCCTTGATATTTTGGGTTCTATGGCTGTGTGGACTTGCCCTGAGTCCACACTGCCATATAATCCAATTCAGTGTGGATTTATGGGTTTTTCCAGTCATATAACCCAGAATATCAAGGCAGAAAAAAACCACAATATCTGCTTTGAACCAGGTTATCTGAGTCCGCACTGCCATATATTCCAGTTCAAAGGAGATATTATTATTATTATTATTATTATTATTATTATTATTATTATTATTATTCAGTTGTGTGGAAGGGACCCAAGTTCAAAGCAGATATTGTGGGATTTTCTGCCTTGATATTTTGTGTTATATGGCTGTGTGGAAAGGCGCTGAGTCCACACTGGCATATAATCCAGTTCGGTGTGGATTTATGGGTCCTTCCAGACAGCCCTATAACCCAGAATATCAAGGCAGAAAAATTCCACAATCCCATCTTCTTTGAGCTGGGTTATCTGAGTCCACACTGCCATATAGTCCAATTCATATAGGCCAGCTTACCTGTTCGAACATATCTCCCTCTAGCTTAAGATCATCCATGGAGACCCTGCTCTCGTTCCCGCCAGCCTCATAAGTGCGCTTGGCGGAGACGAGGGACAGGGCCTTCTCGTCAGTGGTCCCACGCCTGTGGAACTTTCTCCCCAGCGAGATCAAGTCGACGTCTTTCCTCCTTTCTTTCAGAAAGAAGGTTAAATCATGGTTCTGGGACCAGGCCTTTGGACAGCTAACATGACAGCACCTTAGATGTTGAACCAGACTGAAATTGGCTATATGGTTAATGACAATGTTTTTAACGTGATTTTAACTTAATGTTTTATTTACTGTTTTAAACTGCTGCTATTTGTGTTTATATTTGTATTATATTGAGGTTTCGAATTGTCGCCAGTTTGTAAGCCGCCCTAAGTCCCCCTTCGGGGGTTGAGAATGGCAGGATAGAAATATTGCAAATAAATAAATAAAATAAAATGTGGATTTTATACAGCTGTGTGGAAGTAGCCTCGGCTAATCCAGTTCAAAGCAGATATTGTGGATTATCTGCCTTGATATTCCGGGTTATATGGCTGTCTGGAAGGGCCCTGAAACCCCTTCTACACTGCCATATAAAAGCAGATGATCCACATTTGATTAGAGTCATAGTGTGGACTCATATAATCTGCTTTGAACTGGATTATATGAGTCTACACTGCTATGTAATCCAGTTCAGTCTGGATTATATGGTAGTGTAGAAGGGGATTTAGGCCTATCAACATTTTGGAACAGCATTTGACATCAATGTAGACTCATATAATGCGAGTCTACACTGCATTATCTGGCAGTGTAGAAGGGGCCTTGGGCCTGTCAACAGTATTTGGCGCAGCCTTCTCAGATAACCCAGTTCACACCCAGACTCAACCCAGTTCAAAGCAGATATTGTGGCTTTTCTGCCTTGATGTTCTGGGATATAGGGCCATGTGGACCCCCCCCCCCCCAAGTCAACACTGCCATATATTCCAGTTCAAAGTAGAAAATGTGGGATTTTATTCAGCTGTGTGGAAGGAGCCTAAGTCCACACTGCCATATATTCCAGTTTAAAGCCGATAATGTGGAATTTTATACAGTTGTGTGGAAGGAATCCTACATTGCCATATAAAATACAGATTATGTGCTTTGAACCAGATTTCACAGCAGTATAGACTCAGATAATTCAGTTCAAAGCAGATAACATGAATTATCTGATTTGATAATCTAGATTATATGGCAGTGTAGAAGGGGCCTGAGAATACAGACGTTATCCATTTGTATTTATTTACATCTTTATTTTCAGGACTGCTGTGTCGGAGTTCCAGAAGAAAAACATTGTAGAGTGGGTTTCTCAAAAGGCAACTGATACTGTAAGAGAAGTTAAGTGGAAGATCTGTAGTATATTAGATTATTTTTGTTTTAAAATGAAGCTCCCGGGGTCATCAATGCTTCTGGGAATGTGCAGTATGTGTCTGGTGCTGATAAAGAATGGGGAGGCCTTATCTTGCAGGACTGTTGCCTTTCATTTGTCCTGAAATGTTGCCTTCTGTATCCTCTTGGTGAGTTTTCATACAGCAAGAGATCCCTCCAGAGAAAAAACAAAAAGGCCCATTGATTATTAAATATGTTAATAACCTGCTCTACATTTTGCATATTCTGCCCTTACCTGTTTTCAAAAGCTGGTTTCTATTACCGTATGTATTTTGTATAATTTCAAAGGCAATTTGCTTGGTTCCTTATTAAGGACCTCCATGCAGCCAAGGCTGGATCTACGCTGCCATGTAAAATCCAGATTATCTGCTGTGAACTGGGTTATATGGCAGTGCGGACTCATCAGTTCAAAGCAGATCATGTGGATTATCTGCTTTGATAATTTGGATTATATGCCAGCATCCATCCATCCTAAATTTCAATTAAATTACACACTTGATCTTTGCCGAAAGGCCAAGAATTATAAGTAAAAAGACTTATAAGACAGAATTATTCCAAAATAGTTTTTTTTTTCAAGGTGTGGATCAGGAAGAGTTGTGATCCAAAGGGAAAAAAAAGAAGCCAAAATGCCATCATATTTTGGTTTTAAGGATTACAATTGATATTCACGCTCCATCTAAGCTGCATTATATGGTCAGGCCCCATCTACACTGCCAAATAAAATCCAGATTATCTGATTTGAATTGGATTATATTGCAGTGTAGACTCATATACTCCAGTTCAAACCAGATAATGTGGATTATCTGATTTGATAATCTGCATTATATGACAGTGTAGTTAAGCTGCATCATATAAGTCTACGCTGACTGTATTATATGGCAGTGTAGATGGCATCTCAGATAGTTGGGAGTGATACGAATACTTTGGACTTCGTTTATCTTCCAGTTCAGTTGTAGACTAATAAGAAATAAGTATCATAACATGTTGAACAATTTGGAATTGCCTCTGACCATGTGCAGAATGCATTTTCATTGCTAGTGGCACTTAAAAAACACATCTGTAGGAACTCCAATTATTTTGAAGCAAACATGCACACAACCATTATCATTTGCAGGTCTCCCCTGTTGAAAGAAAACTGGTTCATAATAATATTGTTGGAAATAGTATATCTGAATCCTATTCCCCTCCGGTGAATAATGAGCTTTTTCCGACTCTTTGGGCGATCGAAATCAGTTGTCATTGGGATGGTCCATGTGAAAGCCCTGCCAGGTAAATCCTTGTTTCCTTATTCTGACAAGGATGTTTTACACTTTTATGTATAAGTTAAAATCGCCAAGTGGGAACACATCTACAAATGTTATAACAAATTGTGGCCTTAACCTAGTTCAGTGTTTCTCAACATGGGGGTCGGGACCCCCGGGGGGGGGGGTCGCGAGGGGGGTATCAGAGGGCTTGCGAAAGACCATCAGAAAACACAGCATTTTATGTTGGTCATGGGGGTTCTGTGTGGGAAGTTTGGCCCAGTTCTATCATTGGTGGAATTCAGAATGCTCTTTGATTGTAGGTGAACTGTAAATCCCAGTAACCACAACTCCCAAATGTCAAGGTCTATTTTCCCCAAACTGCACCAGTGTTCACATTTGGGCATATTGAGTATTCGTGTAGAATTTGGTCCAGATCCATCATTGTTTGAGTCCACAGTGCTCTCTAGATGTAGGTGAACCACAACTCCAAAACTCAAGGTTAATGCCTACCAAAGCCTTCCAGTATTTTCTTTTGGACGTGGGAGTTCTGCGTGCCAAGTTTAGTTCAATTCCATCATTGGTGGAGTTCAGAATGCTCTTTGATTGTAGGTGAGCTATAAATCCCAGCAACCACAACTCCCAAATGACAAAAAATCAATATTCCCCCCCCCCCGACCCCACCAATACTCAAATTTGCGTGTATTGGATATTGTGTCAAATTTCATGCAGTGATTGAAAATACATCTTGCATATCAGATATTTACATTCTGGTTCATAATCGTAGCAAAATTACAGTTGTGAAGTAGCAACAAAAATAATTTACGGCTGAGGGCTTACTTACTTACTTACTTACTTACTTACTTGGGCGATCCCTCATTGACCGAGTAGGATAGCCTTCCAGGATCAGTATTCTGGTGGGTCCATAGGTGATTGTGGAACCCTATTCTTGATCTGCATCTTCTTCTGCAGTGAGGGCATTGGTTTCCAGGAGGAAGGTGGTCTCGGTCAGGGTTGGCGTGACGCACCTTCCTCTTGGCACATTTCTCTCTTTTGCCCTCCATTCGTGCCTCTTCAAATTCTACAGCACTGCTGGTCACAGCTGACCTCCAGCTGAAGCGCTCAAGGGCCAGGGCTTCCCAGTTCTCGGTGTCTATGCCAGAGTTTTTAAGGTTGGCTTTGAGCCAATCTTTGAATCTCTTTTCCTGCCCACCAACATTCCATTTTCTGGGGGTAATCACAACATGAGGAAATGTATTAAGGGGTTGCGACATTAGGAAGGTATAGAACCACTGACCTAGATCTTAGTTCCAATTAGTACAGACCCATGGGAATGTGGTAAGTTTAGTTGATTCAGTGGGTTTGTTTTTGTTGGGACTAGCACTTGGTCTTCAATGAAGATCAAGTGGACCAGATATGGACCAGGCTTGTCACTTTCTTTGTATTTATTAATCCAGAAATGTGTGCATGTTTGTATTCTGAATCAGAGTAACATTTTCTATGTTTCTAGGAACACCTGGGAGTGTGTTGCCATTGGCCCAAATCACCGAAGAAGCTTGTCGAGATGCTGAGATTTATAGGGCTGCAGGAATTGTAAGACACCTCTTTTTCTCTCATTTTGTTGAGACTTCTCCTGTGTTTTATGTTGCAGAACTTTGCAAAAAAATAATAATCCCACATTGGGCTTGGAATTAAACTAAGTGATGGCATATTAGAATTAAGTGTGAAATCTGTTTTTTTTAAGTCTGGATGCAAATTTTCTAAATTGATTTTTTAAATGGCCATCGATTGGCTAGTTCAGAAAAGTAATGTTAGCAGTTTGATATGGTATGACCTAGATTCATTAGGTAGTCAGTTTGACCTCTATATTCTAAGAAAAATTAAAAATATATTGTCGAACGCTTTCATGGCTGGAATCACTGGGTTGTTGTAGGTTTTTTGGGCTATATGGCCATATTCTAGAAGCATTCTTTCCTGACATTTCACCTGCATCTGTGGCAAGTATCCTCAGAGGTTGTGAGGTTGTTGTCATTGCTGATTATCTTTGGGAATGTAAGCAAAACATCTTCAAGAAGGGTTGAGAGAACTATTCATAGAATCATAGAATTAAAGAGTTGGAAGAGACCTCTTGGGCCATCCAGTCCAACCCCATTCTGCCAAGAAGCAGGAATATTGCATTCAAATCACCCCTGACAGATGGCCATCCAGCCTCTGTTTAAAAGCTTCCAAAGAAGGAGCCTCCACCACACTCCGGGGCAGAGAGTTCCACTGCTGAACGGCTCTCACAGTCAGGAAGTTCTTCCTCATGTTCAGATGGAATCTTCTCTCTTGTAGTTTGAAGCCATTGTTCCGTTGCGTCCTAGTCTCCAAGGAAGCAGAAAACAAGCTTGCTCCCTCCTCCCTGTGGCTTCCTCTCACATATTTATACAAGGCTATCATATCTCCTCTCAGCCTTCTCTTCTTCAGGCTAAACATGCCCAGCTCCTTAAGCCGCTCCTCATAGGGCTTGTTCTCCAGACCCTTGATCATTTTAGTCGCCCTCCTCTGGACACATTCCAGCTTGTCAATATCTCTCTTGAATTGTGGTGCCCAGAATTGGACACAATATTCCAGGTGTGGTCTAACCAAAGCAGAATAGAGCATGGGGAGCATGACTTCCCTAGATCTAGACACTAGGCTCCTCTTGATGCAGGCCAAAATCCCATTGGCTTTTTTTGCCGCCACATCACATTGTTGGCTCATGTTTAACTTGTTGTCCACGAGGACTCCAAGATCTTTTTCACCCGTACTGCTCTCGAGCCAGGTCATTGTCCCCCATTCTGTATCTTTGCATTTCGTTTTTCCTGCCAAAGTGGAGTATCTTGCATTTGTCACTGTTGAACTTCATTTTGTTAGTTTTGGCCCATCTCTCATCTGTCAAGATTGTTTTGAATCCTGCTCCTGTCCTCTGGAGTCTTGGCTCTCCCTCCCAATTTGGTGTCGTCTGCAAACTTGATGATCCTGCCTTCTAGCCCTTCATCTAAGTCATTAATAAAGATGTTGAACAGGACCGGGCCCAGGACGGAACCCTGCGGCACTCCGCTCATCACTTCTTTCCAAGATGAAGAGGAAGCATTAGTGAGCACTCTCTGTGTTCGTCCACTTAACCAATTACAGATCCACCTCATCGTAGTTTTGCCTAGCCCACATTGGACTAGTTTCCTTGCCAGAAGGTCATGGGGGACCTTGTCGAAGGCCTTACTGAAATCCAGGTACGCTACATCCGCGGCATTCCCCGCATCTACCCAGCTTGTAACTCTATCGAAACTCTATTGCTAGCTGCAAAATGAACTAGATGAACCACGGACAAACTGTAAATCATTTCATATATTTTATCGAACCATACCTTTGGAAGGTGCCAAATGGTCATCAAGTTCAATCCCTTGCCATACAGAAACACTTAATTCTAGCACTTCTGGAAGATGACAATCCAGGCTCTTTTTAAAGATCTCAAAAGGAACAGGAAGTCTATTCCCACTCAAACTCATTTCTAAGGCAGTCTGTTCCATTTCAAACAGTTCTTATGGTCAAGACATTCTTCTTAATGTTTAGGTGGAATCATTTTCTTGCAATTTGAGTCAGTTGCTGCATATTCTAGTTTCTGGAGCAGCAGAAAACAGGTTTGCTCTGGGCTCTGCACAATACTCGAAGATGATTTTTTTTCCTGCTTCTTTTCCTGTAATCAGGCTGGTGTTTGCATCCAGACTATATTGCAGTATTAGCTCTGAATGCGTTGTTTTAATCAGTTTTAAGGATTGTAACTTCTGGTTGCTTCTGAGGATCACCTGGGAAGGAATCCCACTGGAGCATTGCAACGCACCCAAATACCTAGGAGTCACTCTGGACTGTGCTCTTACTTACAAGAAGCACTGCCTGAACATCAAGCAAAAAGTGGGTGCTAGAAACAATATCATACGAAAGCTGACTGGCACAACCTGGGGATCACAACCAGACACCGTGAAGACATCTGCCCTTGCGCTATGATACACTGCTGCTGAGTATGCATGCCCAGTGTGGAACACATCTCACCACACTAAAACAGTAGATATGGCTCTTAATGAGACATGCTGCATTATCACGGGGTGTCTGCGCCCTACACCACTGGAGAAATTATACTGCTTAGCCGGTATTGCACCACCTGACATCCGCCGGGAAGTAGCAGCCAATAGTGAAAGGACCAAGGCAGAGACATCTCCAGCTCATCCCCTGTTTGGGTATCAGCCAGCACGTCAACGACTTAAATCAAGAAATAGTTTTCTAAGATCTACAGAGACACTCGCTGGAACACCTCAGCAAGCAAGAGTCCAAAAGTGGCAGGCTCAAACCCATAACCTCAACTGATACCAAATGAGAGACTCCCCACTGGGCACACAGAAGACTGGGTGACTTGGAAGGCGCTGTACAGACTGCGCTCTGGCACCTCGAGATGCCGAGCCAACCTCAAGAAATGGGATCCACGACATGCGAGTGTGGAGAAGAGCAAACCACTGACCACCTGCTGCAATGCACCCTGAGCCCTGCCACATGCACAATGGAGGACCTTCTTGCAGCAACACCAGAGGCATTCCAAGTGGCCAGATACTGGTCAAAGGACATCTAATCAACTACCAAACTTGCAAATTTTGTATTTTGTCTGTTTGTTTGTTTGTTTTGTTCTGTTAGAAATGTAATGCAATTGACTGATTGCCCTGACACGGCAAATAAATAAGGATTGTAACTGTTTGTTTTTAATACTATTAATATTTAATTCTATTTCAATGTCTGTATATTTTTAGATTTTAAATTGTATTTCATTGGTTTTATTGTATACTGCTTTGAGTCTCTGATGTAGAGAGAATAAATGGGGTATCAATAAACAACAACAATAATGATGTCAAACTTTTGCTGGATAATGTAGCAGATCTTATTAAAAAGCAAGGCACCCAAGTGTAACTTCCACTTGGCTGTCCCTTTTGCCCAAGCACAGCCTTCCTGTAATAGACCTTTTGACAATAAGCAGCCTTCTGCTGTGTATATTTGGAAGGCAAGACTTGAAAGGGCGTCTTGAGCCAGAGGCAACAATACTCAGATACCAGTGACTTCAGTTTTCATTGGTCCTAAGGTGTTGCAGTAATTTCCATAGGTCGGCAGATTTTTAACAAGGTCCATGTCCTTTTGAAAGGTCAGGGTGTATTTTACACATTTCATTTGCACCCTATACTACCACTTGCTGCTTTAGCTTGCCTACAGTGGAGATATAAATTGCATGCACCATCCTTCAGTCAGGATTTGAATGAACCACTCATTTTTGCTTTTAGCCTCATTTTCTGGCCAATTTTTAAAAAATGGAACAGAATATTGGGAAAAGATGAGTGAAAGTGGCATGAGAAGAAGGGGTGGGAAAATAAATGTGATGCTTCAGAACCAGATATGCTACCTGGTCTTGAAATACAGTTGAAGAAATACATGCGGGGACATACAGAATGGGGGACAATGCCTGGCTCGAGAGCAGTACGTGTGAAAAAGATCTTGGAGTCCTCGTGGACAAGTTAAACATAAGCCAGGAATGGGATGTGGCGTCAAAAAAAGCCAATGGGATTTTGGCCTGCATCAATAGGAGCCTAGTGTCTAGATCTAGGGAAGTCATGCTCCCCATGCTCTATTCCACTTTGGTTAGACCACACCTGAATTTAAGGAAATTGTTCTTTCTGTCCCTTGTTTGGCTATTCTAAAGGTTTTTTTTCCCAGCCTTGTTAGCAAACAGACTAAGAGTTGTCTAGATGCAGGCGAAACGTCAGGAGGTAAACCCCCCTTTTTAAGGAGCTCCATTGGCTGCCGTTCATTTTACGGTCCCAATTCACGGTACAGGTTCTTACCTATAAAGCCCTAAACGGTTTGGGACCCGCCTACCTTCATGACCGTATCTCCCTCCATGAACCAGCCCGAACTCTTCGATCTTCAGGGGAGGCCCTCCTTTCGCCCCTGCCAGTTTCTCAGGCTCGCCTTGTGGGTACAAGGGAGAGAGCCTTCTCCTTTGTGACCCCCCGACTCTTTGCACTTTGCACTTTTGGAGAGTAGTCACATAATCTTAAGCTATTGCTCCCCTCAACATTCTTATCCTATGAGTACACCCCCCCCCCCTTGTACGAAGGTCTGTCTATCACCCTGTCTCTCTACGTGTTCTCCCTTACAAAAAATTTCCGCTCCTTTATCTCACCCTGAGTTTTTAAATCATTTTATTTTCATGAGGCCCGCTCACTGTCATTATGTTTAGTTTACTGCTTATTATTATTATTATTATTATTATTATTATGTTTTGTGTATATTGTTTATTGCATTTATATGTTTTGTACCTTACTGCGATGTTGTTTATTTTATTGTAATTTGTTGTTTGGGCTTGGCCTCATGTAAGCCTCCCAAGTCCCCGTTGGGGAAGATGGTGGCCGGGTACAACTAAAGTTTATTATTGGGTTGTTGTAGGTTTTCTCGGGCTACATGGCCATGTTCTAAAGGCATTTTCTCCTGACGTTTCGCCTGCATCTATGGCAAGCATCCTCAGAGGTAGTGAGGTCTGT